GTTTTTGACACTATGGATTCCTATTTGAAATCTCTGGTTTACCTTGGTAATCAGGGGTAGGTGTTTGCACACCTAACAGTGCTAATATTGTGAGGCACCCCACAGAACCTAGAAAAGGGTTGCACAACACTCCAGGGTGCCGTGGCACCCTGGTTGAGAATCACTGTACTAAGGACTAGATTCTCATGCAGATGAGACTCACTTAATGCTTTGACTCGCACTCCCATTTCTCTGACCTTTGTGGGGGGTCAGGCTCATCATCTCACAGTTCCATCTGAGGATCATCAGAGCGTAAAAATTTTCAGACCATTCTCTACATCCTCCAGCCATGGCCCCACACTCCACAGCACAGGAGCTAGTATGGCAGCTCTAGCCAACTGGACTACTCTCCAAATCTGTAGAAGTTCTCCACTGGCTATGCAGGAGCAACACAAAGCAGCTCCAGTGGGATGGAGGTTCTGATCATCAGTTTACAAACACATTCACATTTCAAAGAATGACCATGACAATACATTAGCATAGCATGGTAATGCTCCATGTTTATTTTCCCACAGTCATTTCCATATCCAATATGCTCAGTTTCCAAGTAAAAGGATGGCGTTTCCTACCTCCCAGCCATGCAAGTTCAGCTTGGTCCCTTAGGGGTCCAGCTCTGTTCACATTCTTTCTTTTTCTCACGGTGATAAAATAAATGGACCTGGTGGGAAATTTGACATACCTAATCCAGAAATATCTTCTGCCAAGCCACCCTCCTTAATAGAATCCTTCACAATTAGCCAGTCCTTGCTCATCTTCCTGGAGGCAGGGATAGCCACTTGACTTGCTGGGACTTCATCCAAATATTTTAAGTGGGGGATGAGTTTTTTCACTTCAGCTCTGTAATTATAGTCTGGTACCTGAAAGAATGAAGAGTAAGGTAACTGCTTGTCCAAGACAAACAGAAGTACTATAAGCAATGGGCGAATGCTCACATTGTGTGAGCGCTACGTTTTAAAGCATGAATGCCTCAAGAGGGCAAACCAAGCCATCTCAAACAACAGATATAAATTAGGGCTGTGAGAAATTTTGACAAGTGTTTTGTTTTGAAGCTGTTTTGACATGTTTTGAGCTCAAAACAGTGAAATCAAAATGAAACGAAGGGCTTCAAAAAGCTTCAAAATGAAATGTGGGCACTCAAAACGTTTCGAAACTTTCAAAACTTTTCAAGTTTCAAAGCCAGGCTTGGTTGCAGCTAAGCAGGAAGTAAGGAGAGAGAGGGGAAAGGCAGGGGAAGGACTGCTCTGATATTGACATCTAGCTCCCCGTTCAATTTCCCAGTTCTCTGTTTTCTTCCCCTAGCTCTCTGATCATTTCACCAGCTCTTACTGGGGGAGTGCGGGCCCCCGGATCTGTGCATGGGGTTTCAGCAGACTGCTGCTGCCGGCTGGGACCAGTGGCAGCTGCTTGGCGCAGCTCATGTCAAGCACCGGGAAAACTGTGGTGCTTCTGCTGGCCCCAGCCTGCAGCGGCAGCCTGCTAAAACCCATCACGGAGATCCAGGGGCCCACACCCCACAGGAAGAGCTCGAGGAATGATCAGAGAGCTGGGGGAATCGAACTGGGGGTACGTTCGGGTCCCTAAACATTCCCCCAGTTCCCAGTTTGATTCCCCAATCTTTCCCCCAGCTCTTCTAGGGTGGCATGGGCCCTTGGATGATGCAGGATGACAACAGGCTGCTGCTGTCAGCTGGGGATGGTGGCAGCTCTGGGCTATTTTCCCAGCCAGCAGCTGAAACCCCGTGTGCGGATCTGGGGGCCCACACCCCCAAGGAGAGCTGCGGGGCTGTGCCAGACTCCTCCTGGGGGAAGTGGGCCCCCAGATCTGTGTGCAGGATGATAGCATGCTGCCTC